ACTAAACTTGAAATACTCCAATTTTATAATTTTAATTTTTTTTTTCAGTTTTGTCTCTTAGCAACTTAGATGTAAGAGCAGAGAAGGTGTTTTTTTTTTTTTTTAATTGACCTAAGATTAGGGTTTTGTAGGACAAGTTTTAGAACATGACAAGGTAGATAATGTTGTTAAGGCATGATAAGAGAGTGGTTCAAGGGATGCACTGTGTGGCGTAGACTGCATAGGAAAAGAAATAACACCATTTAGGTACTGATGGCTTGGCGGAAAAGGGAGGATTCAAAGGAATCTAGATCTCTTGTGGTTGTAGAGCAGGTATGAGGAGAGTGAGAAAGTGTGAATTGGATAGGAGATTGAAGCCAAGATAGTATATTGGAATTTAAAATTTCAGAGCTAGAGCAGTTCCAGTTTATTGTAAAGACCACATTATAGGAGTGTATACTGATGAAGGATACTGGAGGAAATAAAAGTCCAGAAACGGAGTATGTCGTGATATATAGCCCATTTCAAATAGGGAAATCACCTATGTTGATGGCAAGAATTGGGCTAGAGGGAAAAGTGTGAACCAGATCAGTAGATAAAAGGGTGGTAGGGTCAGTTGTGATGGCTCACACCTGTAATACCAGCACTTTGGGAGGCTGAGGCAGGGGGATCACTTAAGGTCAAGAGTTCGAGAGCAGCCTGGCCAACATGGCAAAACCCTGTCTCTACAAAAATCGAAAAATTAGCCGAGTGTGGTGGCAGATGCCTATATTCGCAGCTACTTGGGAGGCTGAGGTAGGAGAATCGGTTGAACCCAGGAAGCTGAGGTTGCGGTTAGCCGAGATCGCACCACTGCATTCCAGGCTGGGCGACGAATAAGATTCCGTCTCAAAAAAAAAAAAAAAGGTGGTAAGTACATGGCAACATGAAGTTAGGGTTCAGGGCATTATTACAAGAATGGGACAGGGGGTGGTTTGCATGAGCCCAGAAGACCAGGGACTGGTGACATCTCTTATATTTGGTATTTGTGGGTGTGAATGCTAGGGATTGGGCAAACTTATTTAAAGAGCCAAATAGTAAATACTTTAGGCTTTGCCACTCACATATTGTTTCTGTTGCATATTCTTATTTGTTTGTTTTCATAATCCTTTAAAAATGTAAAAAAATTCTT